CCCCTTCCCCCGATGAGCCTAGTTTAAAGCCCGCTGGAGGGCTGTGTGTGGCCCTATCCCTTGATATTGATTGGCAAAGAGGCAATAGTGGGTAGTCACCATCTTGACTGCTGCCCTTCATGCCGCCCTGCCAGCCAGCGCCTCCCTTTCCTAGGGGGATTGCAAGGCTGGGCCATAGCAGCAACAAGGATCGCTGGTTCCCACTGGGCAGCCAGCATCTTATTAAGTTTTTTGGTGGGGGGGGGATTGATTTTTCTGGGAAATTTTGGCCAATGTCATTTTTTGCAGTTTCCATGAAAATCGCAAAATTACAATTTAAGTAGGTCCCTACTAATGTCTAATGGACAAAATCAGGTTGGGCCTCATGGTGGTAAGCAATGTAAAAATATATAATGAATGGTGGTCCCTGCCCCAGATTCCTTACAATGTAGAAAAGAAATTGTGAAAGGTAAATGAGATGCACCAGTGGTTCAGGTGGGGCTGGGGGAGTAGGATAATGAATATAACAGGAGGTGTATACTGGCTAGCAGTAGTAATCACAGCTTCTACCTGCCTTCTATTTTCATCCCCAGGCATCAGAACCTGGCTTCCCTTAGGGGAAATCCCAGTTTAAATTTTTCAACCGGTTCATAATGGGTCCAGTAATCACTACTAGGATCTCCCTGTCTTTGTCTTGGCAGGTATATGAATGCAAAATTGCCTCTTTCAAAGCTTTCTCTGTATTTCTATGTTGGTGTCACATCACAGGCTTTCTATACTCTGCCTTGCCTCTTGATATGTCAAGGGTTTCCTTGCTTTCTCCCCATAACCATCTAACCCTGGATCTTTTCCCTGGTAGGTTATATTGGTGTGGTCAACAGAAGCCAGAAAGATATTGATGGCAAGAAGGACATTCAGGCTGCACTAGCTGCAGAGAGGAAGTTCTTCCTTTCACACCCTTCCTACAGGCACATGGCTGATCGCATGGGCACTCCCTATCTGCAGAAAATATTGAACCAGGTAATGGCACCTGGGCTCAGCAGTTGGCTACCACTAGGACAGAGAACACATCAAGTTGGGATTGTCACCTGAGGTTACTATGAGATCATACAAAAACCAAAGACTCCCACATACTTGGCGTACATAAGCTAACAAATACTCACAGTCACCTGGGACATAGTCCTTTGTTTTCCTGCCATAAAACTTGCCCAGGGTAGCTCTGTGACTTGCCCAGGGTCACAAAAGGAGACAGGCAGCACCAGAGCTAGGAAAATGGGCAGCAAAATCAAGTTTCCACACCAAAGAGCCAAAATCTGCTGTGGCTTGCACAGAGTAAGTTCACTGGAGTTTGTTTGGACTTCTGTCCAGGGAGTTGCTCTTGCTTTGCACCATATTTGTTTTCTGCCTATTTAAAAACAATATCCTCAAACCAGCCAGAGCTCTCTTACATTTCTTGTAGGGCTATGAAAGTTAATTAGCAATTTGAACACTCAATGCAAAACAATGCCTTTCAGCTTCCCTAGTCTGCTGAGGATCAGTTGTGCTTCTCATATCAGGCACTAGCAATCAGCAGGTGAGCTCCTGCTCTCAGCTCACTTTCTCCTCCTGCATGTACATGATTGGGGCAGCAGGAAAAACATGCTATTTATTATTATTATTATTATTATTATTATTATTATTATTATTATTAAAGTGTGTCTAAATAGGGCACTAGGAAAATGGAATTGCCCAAGCAGTGCCTGGAGAAACTGCTGCTTCTACAGCTCTCAAGCACTTTTCTACCATGACCCACTTTTAACTAAGGTACATGGCTATTGGTCCCTATGGCTGCAAACAATCTGCACAGATCGGTTGCCAGGAAAGAGAGGAGATGGATGCAACAGCTTTACCCTGGCACATCTCTCTGCGCACACAGCTCATGCCAGAGTGGAGATGCTGACAAGGGGAGTGCAAGACCCTCAAGGGAACAGAGGGTCCAAGGGTGCAAGGCTTCAGGTGCCTAGGCTGGAAGGAGGTACCTAGGGGAGGAGCCGGGCTGGAGAACAAAATGAGGAGCACGGGGCCAGTAAGAACCAGGGTGGAGAAGACAGCGGCTGCCCCCATGCCCCAGGCAGCAAAGCCCTGGGCAGCTCCCCTCACGCAAGCTCCATGCTCTCCAGGCACAGTGTGAAGCATTGTGACGGCAGGAAAGACTGTCTCCCAGCTCACAGTGCTGGTGACACAGCAGCACCTAGTGGTCAGGAAGAGTCAGGATAGGTGCACGCTATTCTGCATTAGTGGTGGTTGTGGGGACAGACAATGTTAGAAGAACAGAAGTCTAACCCAAAATCCCAGGCAGCCATTCGCACCTGCTTATCATCAAGATTGCAAATTCAACTTTCAAGCCCTGATCTTGCAAGTACTTGGGCACAAGTTTAGCTGGAAGAATATGTGGAGTCCCACTGGCTTCAAAGTTAAGCACACGTATAAGAGCTGGTCAGAAAGTGGTGTGTTCCATTCAATAGTCAGTGAGACTTATTTGTTTGTTGCCTTTTTTCAGACTTTCTTACTTTTTCCATGAAAACCAGAAAGTCAAGGTGAAAAATATTTTGGTTGAAAAACTGAAAATTTAAAATGGAAAAATGTCCATGAAAATTGGAGCTGGTCTTTTTCCATGAACATTTTTTGTTTCTGATTAAAAGTCCAAATTTCATCTACAAAAGATGATCAAAAATTGTCCTCCAGCACTTTTTTTCTTTTGCAGGATCAAGGCTAAGGATGAGGATTTTAGAGCCTAACTAGATACAGTCCAGCATTGTACAGTCCCAAGCCCATTGTTGGAGGGAGCCTCTTTGAAAGTCATGGAAATCTGCACGGCAAAATCCTTTATCCTCCTTATGAGGGAGGCTTGACGCAGTGTTTTTGAGTTGGACCTGGCAGATCTGAGATACTGATGGAATGAGGTGAAGAGGCTTCACTAAAATAAATTCCTAAACTAGCCAAAAGATTGGCAATAAAGCCCCCACTCTACAGAAATAAGCATGGTATTTTTCTTGTCTTTTACCCTTAAATGAGTAATACTTCCCTGAAATGAGCCAAAGATTTCTCTGTCACACTGGTGTTGTGAGATTCAGTCAGTGGTCATAAGAGTCTTGGGATCTTCAGGTGAAAGGTGCTAGAAGTGCATAGAATAATATTACTCTACTTCTAGTTGTATCAATTGTATTGGGGTGTCTTTGTGGTTAAGCTAGCAGTCAGACTCAGGAGACTTGGATTCAGTCTTTGGTCTGGCCCCAGGCTTCCTGGGTGACCTGGGGCTTAATCTTAAACCAAGCTTGTATCTTGCTTCTCCATCTGTAAAGGAAGATTCTCCTAGCTCACAGGGGCATTGCAAGGCATGCAGGGACTATGGCAATGAGTGCTATATGAATAAATACACTAGGTCTTCACCTGGACTCTTCAAGGAAACAGCACCCTTTTCTTCCTGGAACCTGACTATTCCCATATGTTAGCATAACAACAAGAGAAAGCCCTTCCTGGGGTATTCGCCCACCTTTTGTGAATATTTGAACCTTGAAAGGTACAGCTTGTCTTAAAGTTCTCCTGTCGGTGTTACACCGGTGTCTGTTCCCTGGACTCCAGGGATTTCTAGAGGCAGATCTACAACCCAGTTCTTTCTTTACACTGGAGAGATGACTTAGCTATCATGTCCATTTCTGTGTTATCTCATTCAGTCATTTCATCTCCTTACAAGTCTACAAAAGAGTCCCACCAATGGGACCGAACAACTCGGTCACACAGGAGCCAGGAGGCAACAGTCCTTGGAGTTGCTTATTCTGGCATAAACGGCTCTTGAACACTTTGCCTCCAGTCCAGCACAGAGTTGTATCCCATTTTGTTTCTGCCATGGTGCTGAGGCAGCAAATTGTTACCATGAGTATTTTAACTACTTTCTTCACCTTTTCCCTATGTAGCAACTGACCAATCACATCCGGGACACCCTCCCAGGGTTGCGGAACAAACTCCAGAGCCAGCTTCTGTCCATTGAGAAAGAAGTGGATGAGTACAAGAACTTCCGTCCTGATGACCCTGCTCGAAAGACCAAAGCTCTGCTTCAGTAAGTGACCCAGCCTGTACATCTCTCTTTGCAGAGGCCCACCCACTGATATCTGCCTGTTCACATTGTTTGGTTTCTTTGCGCTCAGGATGGTTCAGCAATTTGCCGTGGACTTTGAGAAACGCATTGAAGGATCCGGAGACCAGATTGATACCTATGAGCTGTCTGGAGGAGCTAGGATCAACCGCATCTTCCATGAGCGGTTCCCGTTTGAACTGGTGAAGGTACCCCCTCCCTGCCCCCGTGCTTACCTAGTAGCTCCTTTTCTCTTTTTTTTTTTTCCACCTCTCCTTCTCACCTGCTGTTGTCTTGGCTCATTTAGTATCTTTCCTCCTTCTCACCTGCTGTCTCCTCTTTAATTATCTCCTTTCTTCCATGTCTTTCCCTTCTTTGCATTCTCACCTTTATCTGTTCTCCTCATCTCCTTCACCAGTCCTCTCTTCTCTTTTTAACTCCTTTCTCTCTATCTCCGTGCTGTTCCTTCATCCTCAGCATCACCCCCTTAGCTCCTGTCCTGGTATCTGAATACAGCCTCTCCCTGAGCCCCTGCCCTTGTATCAGAGTATGGGAATGCCTTTTTTCTCTCTGGTTTATGTAAAAAGGTTTCCCTTTAACTCTCCCATGACCTGGATTCCCTAATGCAGAATATATAAATACACTTAGTGTGTTGGTCTCAAGCCAAAAAAAGAGACCAATCATCCTAATTAATAGCTATGTAGAATTGCATTGCCAGATCTTCAGGTTCAGCTGAATCGCATACAGTGGAAATGGGTACAAAGGTAGTGAAGAACTGCAGTCTCTTTTTCCTATGGATGCTCTGGGCAGGGCTGGTTCCCTTGCACCAAGCTGAACTAAAGTCTGCACCCATTTATACTGATTCCTAAATACTCTCAAGGGGCATAAAAAAGAATTGGTAGAGTGCAGGAGTACCCAAGTCATAGCTACTTGGTTGTGTCCTCCCATCCCATTCCCCATCAGTTGAAAGGAAGAAGGTGTGCAAAAGCTCTTTCATTGGCTTAGCACCACTAAAGGATCTCCCAGAGATGAGGAG